TGAATCATTTATGCTTAAAAAATAAAGATAAGTAAATGAAGAAAAAAATTATCTTTATTTTATAAAAGTAAATGATTCCTTTATATTTATTTATTTATTTTTAAAAATAAAGGTACAAATAAATAAATAAATATAAAGGAATCATTTACTTTTATAAAATAAAGATAAATTTTTTTTTCATTTATTTATATTTATTTTTTAAGTATAAACGATTCATTTACATTTATTTTCCAAAGTAACACTAAATTAACACCCCTAGACCGGATCGCTGGAAAACCACTTAGAAAACTTTTTAAAACTCGAAAAGCATTTCATTAGATAAAATATATAGGATAATCTATAAAAAACGCGCTTTTAAGTTTATCTCTAGCTTGCAGGCCAAAAGACCACGTGCATAGCAAAAGTTGCCCACTGTGACATGTTCAGTGCAAACCGAAAGTTTTTTCAAAAAAGAGGCACCATCCTTAAATGTAGTGTTATTGCATATTAGTTTAAGAATATTCATAATCTCTGACTTCTGCGTCATCTATACATTACGATAGACTAGTATCGAACTTATTTTACTTTGCTGTTTGTTTATTCACATTCGTGCTACGCTGTTTCATTCATCTGAGCTATTTTTTACTCATTGTTTCATATGTAGGCAGTTCATGATGACTCAACGAATCATTATTAGATTTTCGTGCAATTTTTCAGGTTTTGACGAAAGTTTTGGATTTAATTAGGGATTGAATTACTGAGATATTCACCATTGTACGCTGTAGAGGGCATTGTTTTTATAAATATCTCAATAGTTCTCATATAGCATGATAAATGAAACTAATAGTGTACAATTCATTTAGGTATCTTTTCTCTGTTCATTTGGACTTTTTTCATCTATCATTCCTATCTTTTGGACGACGCTGAATTTACTTTTCGTAATAGTCTGTGTTCGTTTGAGTTTCTTTTCTTGTTAAATCATTTCATCTTTAATTAATTCGAGATGAATGTGTTATGTGAGAAAAAAGAAACAGATCTAAATGTGTCTGCAACATTAGAAGCAAATAATATTGCATTGGCAGTCGCATCATCTTCAAATACTTCTGTGCTCTCATCAACGTCGTCACTATCTCTCACGAAACGATCTGCGCCTGAATACGGTAATCTAGTGCATCTTACATGTGTTTACGTAAAAATTATCCTCACTCCGTTTAGAAACAACAGACGGTCTACACGCATATTCTTTTGGACTTGTTCTTCTTTTACTTATAAATATTATTAATATTATTTTCGTTTGAACTGTAGAACCAACTGATGCTGACGACGATGTGGATACATTGAAACGGTCGAAACGAACACTTTCATCGTCTTCAACACATTCGACTCTTTCAAACCCTGATGGTAATCAAGTTGAGGAAATAACTAATGGTGAAGATGAAATGTTAGTTTACAACTCAAACAAAATGACATCGAATAATAAAATGTATATTTTCATTTGTTTAGATCTAAAAATGCTGGAAAGTGATAAATTAGAAAGTGTGACATCTGATCGTAAGTATTTGGCAATTTGTCCACTAAAAATTTTTTAATAGAAAATAAAATTTTTATTATTATTGTTTAGCTACATCAAAATACGATCCATCACCACTACCATCGTCATCACAGATTGAGTAAGCAATAGTAATTGTTATTCTGTAGCAAAGGAATTAAACAGCTTTCTGTTTTGGTAGCGATGATGAAGATAGTAGCGAAATGCTTTATCGATTAGCATCAATGAAATCAATCAGCAGTAATCAGAGAATTATAATTATTAAATGTATAGCTGTTATTGTATGTCTCATTCTAGGCATGGACATCGATGATGAAACATCACAATCTGCTGATGATAATAGTTTCAGAGTACGAACGACACGAATTATCCTTTCTCGACGATAAAATTGAAATTATTTTATTATTTAAGGGTGTTCCAATTGAAAATTTAACGAATATTTTACAAAATGCACCAAGATTAAGTAACATGGAACACATAATGGATACAAATCATACATTTATGATGAAAGTAATTATTTGTAGACTGTTTTAATCAACTTCTGTATAACTAACTCATTCTATTTCAGCCATATAAATATAATGTAAATAATCCAACAGAGCCAAAGCCGAATAATGTACGCTATATTGACAAATGGGATTTTGATCATATAAAAATGCCTTGCTCAGTAAAATATATCAAAATAATAAAATGATGATGTAAAAAAGACAAAATGAAAAGGATTAATGTGTATTTTCTATAACGTGACGGTACACAACGATGGCCAATTATTTGTGAAGAATAAAACAAATTAAAAAGTTTGTGTGAAGCTAAAAGTGCAACAACAAAAAATATCAGGGTATCGCTTAGACTTTCTTAGATTAATACTTTTTGTTCCCTCTCAATAATTATCCAATTTTTGAGTAGTTTTATCCTGTAGAGTATCATTTTTTTCGCTCATATTATTATTTGAATTATCAATTATTTCTATTTAGGAAACCATTGAACATTGTACGGGTCGTGATTGGCAAATTCTGTATCTTGAGCAACTTTTAAATGAGGTGTATAAGGTTCGATATTCTCTCTCATTAATCATCATTATTTCTCTCATTAAACTTTCAGATTTATTCATCCGAAGATCGTGCACATTTCTTATCCGATGTTTTATTAAATATAATTACATTGGCATTAAAAGTTAATGAAATTTGTGGACAAGTAAAAATTTATACAAAGAAACGATTACTTGTTAATATGTTTTATTCTGTAGCCGCCACCCTTATTGAAAATTGGTTCGAATCGAGCAGTAACAATGTCACAATTATAATGTGCATCTTTACTATCGTGTGCACTTTTTTGTCTGTTTCGTCGACGTCATGAACAACAACCGGGATGTGAATATGAAACATATCAGAATCCAAATTTTAATACGTACGTTGACAGTATTAAAAATCTGAATTTTTAATCTAAATTATAATTGTGTTTTCTTTTTCTTTGTTTAGCATATTTTTTGGTTCTCGTCATGGTTCTAGTCCATGGAAATTAGAAAAATTAAAATCAGTTTTACATTATTTTACTCGTATCACATAAAAAAGTAGGAGACAACGTATTTATTCAAATGTACTCTATTTTTCATTATCATTTGTGTTTTAGTGCCTACTGATGTCTTATCATTTCGTCGCTATTGTTTACCAAAGAGCTGCACACCAGAATGAAGTAATTCATCAAATAAGTTATGTAAGATACATTTAACAAAAACTAAGACTGTTGAAGATATGCATGCGTTTCCTTCAAATATGTTCATTAATCTCGGATAGAAATTGTTTTATTTATTTACTGTAAATATGTTTTTAAAGATTGATTTTGCAAATAAATACATTGGTGGTGAGGTGATGAATCATGGATGCGTTCAAGAAGAAATACGTTTTGTTATATGTCCAGAAATGTTACTTTCATTATTATTATGCGAAGTTATGGAACCTCAAGAGTGTATTTTTCTCACTGGTACACTAGAGATTAAAGTAGTTCGAATGAGTTTTCTACAATATTATTGTTGATTTTATTATGTTGCGAACGTTTTAGTTCTTATAAAGGTTATTCAACAACATATAAATGGCTTGGTAATTATGATGATCAAACTCCAAGGTATCTGAAAGTATACATCTAAAAATGAGTCAATTTTATAATTTTTCTTTTTATTCTAGAGATGAATGGGGACGTCGTTTATGTCATGTTGTAGCAATAGATGCTATATGTTTTAATAATCCTGCAATGCAATGGAATGGTAAATATGTTCGTCGAGAATTATTAAAAGCCTATTCAGCGTTTCGTGTACTTGCTGGTGAAAAAAAATTACTTGAAGGTAAAACAACTTTTATCTTCTTAAAAAAACATATGAATTAATTATGTACCAATATTAAATTTATAGGAAATGTAGTAGGTATAGCTACTAGAAATTGGGGTTGTGATGCATTTCGTGGCGATAAACAACTAAAAAGTAGTGAATATGATTTATCAATATGAGAACTCAATAATATTTTTATTGTTTCTTATTTATTTTATTGTAGCCATAATTCAATTGATGGCTGCATCTGAAGCTGAACGTTCGCTAATATATATTACGTATGATGATCGTGTTTTGGTTGATACATTTTCTAAATTATATGATTATTTAATTCAAAAAGATGCAAGAGTGAAAGATTTATATAAATATTTAGCAGAATATTCACAAATTGAGACGAATCTAAATATATTTGATTATATAATGACAACACTAATGGCAATTGAAAAATTAGTGACAACTAATAAAAATACTACCAATAATACAACATCGGATGAGACGAATATCGAATCATCGACAATTACAACGAAACAAAATGATGATAAAGATTCGTAAAATGATACAATACTTTAACATTAAATAGTATTTCCTATTGTGATCAATAAACAAAATTCACTTATTCTGTCTGTTTGTTCATGTTTTCTCTCTCTCTCTCTATTTTCTGTATGAAAAACATATTTATATAATTGTGTAATTCTTCTTCTGTCCATATCTTCATCCATATCTTTTGGATTTATTCATTTTTACTTTACATGTTTATGTAGGTTTAAAACATATATAAAATAAATCTAAACATGTCTTTGTTATTTTAGAACGTTTCTTTTATAAATGTGTTTGTGTAATGGGATTCTATGACAATAATGTAATTTTGTTTTTACAGATAAGTGTGCACATTTTTATCTCATTCGTATCTAACAAATATATATATATATACAGTAGAAAAGAATGGTCGATGTGGTATGCTTTGAATTGAATAAAAAGGACATTCTGAAAAGGGATGAATAAATTGAACTATTTTTTAGTCTAGAATTATGCCTATAAGAAATGCATCACAATGGTTACCAGACACATTTAAATCATTGATAGAACAAAATTTTACTGAAACTATGGAACTTTCTCTTTATAATGATGGAAGCACGGTACGAAACCACATGAGTATTTGTTTAAAGATTGAATATGAACACAAATAATATGTTTTGATCGAATTAAAATCTTTAAACAAATGTTATAATTTGAAAAAAAGTAAACTCTTTTCTCACCACATCTTTGGATACTAGTTTATTCCCATAGTGTCACTATTTACCTACGAATATAGCAAAAATATGATAGTACATATTCTTTTTTGTGATGCTAGAAGGCATTAAAGTAAAAGTTAAAGTGAATTATACATGGATACTTTGAATGTAAGATATTTCAGGATAATTCAATTGATATCGTTCATGAATGGGAGCCTTTATTGACGTCCATGTATAAAATTATTATAAATGGACATAAAGAGGAGAAGGTACGTGGTGGTAGGAATATATAATTTACTAGTTGTATGTCCACTTATACGTAATGCTTTGTTTTTATTATTTTAGCTGGATATTGTCGAAATCGTGCAATCGATGCAAGTGCAGAACGTTTTTTATGTTTATTAGATGCTGTAAATATTTATTTGCAAAAATAGTTTTTATATTATTTGAATCTTGATTATTTTTTTAAGAATGATATTATGTTGAAAGATCGTATAAGATTACAATATGAATTTGCATGCAATAATGAATCAACGTTAGGTTAAACAAAAGTCTGTTAAACAGTTCTCATTTTCTAATATTATTTTTATTTAAATATATTTATAGTTGGTTGTAAATATGAACGAATTCTTAGTAGTTCAACGGAGAGATATACAAACTGGTGTAATAATCTTACAGATGAACAACTATACACGCAAGTATAGACATATTAGAGTTTGAAATATAATTCATGATTATCTTTATTCATCTTACTGAAAAGATTTATCTTGCTCATGGACCAACAATCATCATGCCCACGTGGCTTTTATCGAGAAAACTTTATGATAGTGTGAGCGGATTTGATGAATATGCAATTGTACGCAAAATATATTGTATTATACTATTTCACTTGATAAATGCACTTGTTTTCTTCATTCTTCTTCACACGGCTATTGTGAAGATTTGATCTTTTTTTACAAACATTTAAGAAAAGGTAGGTTATTCATAGACAATTGTGTATCAAATAGTATTTGGCATATTGTCTGATTTTATGTGGTAAACTACATCGAATTGATCGGATTCGACTATATTATCGATATCATTTGTGTGCAACAACTTTCATTATCCATGAGTAAGAAAACTGTGTATAGAGAAATTTATACTTATACGACAGGCTGTCGCCTCTTTTGATAAATTCAGAAATCTTATATGGTCTGTGCGTATAAATGAAATACAAATGAATATCATTGATCAATTAGAAGAATTTACAATATGGACTGCCGGGCGGCAGGTAAGAACAAAATTGTTGAATTCTATTCTATTTAAAACTTACTTTTGTTCACCGTTCAAATGACGACTCTTGTCAACATTCTCGCATATTTTTCTAGCAGATTCTTTGTATGTCGTATTAAAAATAATAAAATGAAAACATATCGAGAACGAAGTATCGAGATACATATGTTAGAGTGGAAGATCTTCTATAAACATATTAATATTCTTAATTCAAAGTACTTCATTTATATTTAATAGGGAAGAAGAATTTATCAGTCATTAAACGCCAACAATAAAGCAAAAGTAAATTTATTTTATTTTATTTATTCTATCATTTTAATCTCTTACATGAAATTTTTAATAGGTCACAGAAGATATCAAAAGGATTTTATACAGATGAATTTTCGAATGTATGTAAGATGAAATTATCTATGATTGGCAGGCATCTCTTGTGCTAACTCTTTTTCTAACACTAAAACAATATGAAATATTCGTTTAGGAGAAGAGAAAAATTCTAATTATACATTTTTCGGAAATGAAACCACCAGTAATTATATGTGTCAAATTGGTAGGAGTCATTATTTTGTGTAAACTATTATCCTAAACATTTTGTTTTCTTCATCAATTTAAGGCAATGACAAATGGTGAATTTGAAAACAATCTCGCAATGATGAACCTCATTGAGGGTATTGACTACTGGCTATTTTGTTAATAATTGTTCGAACGTTTGTTTTCATGTGAATAAATAAATGATCTATGTTTAACATGGAACAACGTCTATATTTAACAAAGTAGAAAAGAAAAATTAACAACAAAGAAAAACAAGATTGGCTGACTAAATGCCAAAATAAAATGAACTAAGAATTGTGTAATAATCGACACATTTGAATACTTTTATCTGTAAACGAATAATCAATACCTGGATATGTTCGTGTTCGATTTTTAAACCATCTATAAGACTGTTTTTGTTTATCGAATAGAAATTCAATATTATCACTAATATATCCCGATCAGGGTATTTAATAAAGAATGTAGATATACAAATAATACGCGAAGGCAGTCTCCTTTAACTGTTCGATATATATACATATATGAAATGTAAATAAAAATAATCTTGTACGATTCATAACAAATGTGAGCTGACAAGTGTTGTACAAAAGTCCATGAGGATCCATGCGTTCCCAAGGGCTCCCATGGACTAACATTTTTAAAGGTTTATGAGCTGGGTTGGGCATGAAAAATGCATAAAGTTGGGCGAAAAATTCGACTCACCCGGAGCCCTGAAATGCATCAATACCAGTAGTAAGTCTCTCGTATACAAAACAATTGATTATAAGTGTCACTTATGATCAGTTTATATTAAACGGTGTGACTGTTTAGAATCTAAGAGTATCCGATGGTCCTTCCGGGTGGTGCTAGTTAGCCCCTACTGACCACTTCACAAAACAATACTCAATTTCGTTCTACCAGCAGCAACAATTATTATTATTTCAACAATGAAAGTTTTATACAAAAACCTGTTTGTACAATGTTGATTGTACAAGCAAAGGTTCAGTTGGTTATTATCTTTACAAAATTTACTGGATCATTTTATCGGATTCTGAAATAGTCATCGCTTTAATCATAGAAAAATTAATACTTGCCTAAGACTAGTGAGATTAAACGCAGGACATTGCAAGCACTATATCAAACCTGTACTCACCAGCTGAGAACCTATGATAATGTGATTAACATATCAAAGTGAATCCTTTTCCATATATTCGGGTTGAAGTGAAAATAACAATCTTGATGCAGTTTTCGTTTCATTCCTCGAATAATATTTCGAATTTCTTCTTCCATCCTCACTTCATGATCATGTTTACCACTTTCTCGATCATATTATTACTAGTATCAACTGTAATCGATGCTGAACATTTGTTTGTTCTACATTTGAACACAATACTTGAATCTTTTTTAACATGTATTTTTCTAAACCGATAGTTGTTTATAAACTGCACAAATTTTCCCTTGTTGCGTTCTAGATATGATAACTTGTAGAGAAGTCATTGTGATAATAAAATGGATGCGTAATTATACACAGTGTACCAAAATCACATATCTATATCTTATTTCTATATTATTCTAATTAAACTTTATTATCTCTTGTGGAATACTAACATTTGTTGTCTCAATTTAAACGTCAGAGTTTATTATCGCTTTTGAGTACGCTCAGTTTATTGTCTCATATGCGGGTGAGCCGTTCAGTTGCATGAAACATTGATGTTTTCTTCTTTCTATGCATACTGTAGAGACACAGATATAAAGCAAAAAATGGAGAAAAGAACAAATTTTATCATTTTACTCAAAAGAACACTAATGCCATAGCGACGAGAATCTTTCTTTCCAAAGAACGAATCTTTCTTCGTTCTTACATACTAGGGCTGTCGGAGTTCCGTTAAGTTTGTACTAACTACTAACGAAAACAGTTAGTAGTTATTTAAACTATGAACTGAAATAGTTAGTCAGTTAGTCAAACTACTAACTAGAAGGGTTAGTAGTTAG